TCCAGCTCTGTCCAGGACCCTCTATTATGATCCTGGTCAGAGCAGTCAGTGGTGGTAGCCGGGTACCATCTAGCTGTACTGGACTCAGTCTGGTGGAGGCCTTGGTAGCTGTGGTCCATTAGTCCTTTGGACTAACGTTTTCCTTGTATCTTGTTCTCTTCATTCTCCCTTGCTCCTGAAGGGGTGAGACCACTGGAGTATCTTAGATGGCCGCTCACAGGCTTTTAAGACCCCCGACACTACTCACCAAAGTAGAACACTGGGTTTATAAACTGTGTTATGCCAATTGAGCTAGATGTTCCCCCAAGACCATGGTCCCCACAGCCCTCTGCCCAGCAGTGCAGTCCCTCAGGGAATTTGGATGTGTCTGTGGAGCTTCCATGACCTTTCCTTGTACAAGTTGTGCTGGCATCCCCAGTATTGTGTACTGTCTTACCCTTCACCAAAGTTGCCACTTATCTGTTGTCTATTTAGTTCCCTCCCATCCCTCATAACCAACAAAGATTGTTTCTTTTTGTGTGTGTAAACTTTTACATGAGTTTTTACAGTAGAGGTCTCATACAATATTTGTCCTTTTGTGATTGACTTATTTCACTAGCATAATGTCCTCCAGTTTCATCCATGTTATGAGATGCTTCACAGATTCATCATTTTCTTTATCTTTACATAATACTCCATTGTGTGTATATACCATAGTTTGTTTATCCATTCATCTGTTGATGGGCATCTAGGTTGTTTCCATCTTTTTGCTGTTGTGAACAGTGCTGCAATGAATATGTGTGTGCATATGTCTATTCATGTGACGGCTCTTATTTCTCTAGGATGTATTCCTAGGAGTGGGATTGCATTTTGTAGTGCTTTTTTCGTGGTGCTGACGTTTTCTTTGTGCCTCTTACTCTCCTGTGCTGAGTTCCTTTTGTTTGTGGATTTTTTTTTCATTTGTTTTTGTAGGTTTTGTTTTAACTGAGACTTTATGTTTTTCTTCTTTGTTTTGATGAGTAGGTTTGTTAACTTTCTCTGTGGTTACCTTGAAGTTTACCCTTGTCTTCCTAGATTTGAACCAGTCTATTACTACTTGGTATCACCTTGCCTTCCCCTCCATTAGAAGGTTCTATACCTACACCGTTTATTCCCTCTTTTATTGTTCTGCTGCTGTTGTCATTTACAGATTAATCTCTCTGGTTCCCTGTTGTAATTCTTTTGGTTTTGCATAGTCCTTAAGAGTTCATTTCCTAGGTTGGTATCTGGCTAGTACAATCCTGTGTCCTATATTCAGCCTGTGGTCTGATGTTGCTTGTTCTCAGATCGAAGGACTCCCTTTAATAAGTCTTGTAAATTTGGTTAGGTTTTTACATAGTCCCTTAATTTCTGTTTATTTGGAAATGACCTAATTCCACCATCATATCTGAATGAGAGTTTTGCAGGATATATTATGCTTGGCTGGCAATTTTTTTCTTTCAAGGTTTTATATATGTCATCCCATTGCCTTCTTGCCTGTATGGTTTCTGCTGAATAATCCAAGCTTGGTCTTATTGTTTCTCCTCTGTATGTGACTTTCTGTTTTTCTCGAGTTGCTCTCAGGATTCTTTGTCGGTCTTTGGTTTTGGCGAGTATGATTATAATATGCCTTGGTGATTTTCTTTTAGGGTCTATCCTATATGGGGTTCGTTGAGCTTCTTGGTCAGCTTTTCATCTTTCATGATATTGGGGAAGTTTTCTGTCAGGAATTCTTCAATGATCCTCTCTGTGTTTTCTGTTTTCTCCCCCTGTTCTGGAACTCCGATCACTTGCAGATTTTTGCTGTTGATTGTATCCCACATAATTCTCAGGGTTTCTTCATTTTTCTTCATTCTTTTTTCTGATTTTTCCTCAAACAGAGTTGTATCCAAGTGTTTGTCTTCAATTTTGCTGATCCTATCTGCCATCATTTCAAACCTGCTCTTCAGCCCTTCTATGACACTGTCCATTTCTGACTTGTTGTTTATCTTTTGGATTTCTAATTGTTGTTTTTGTATGATTTCTAGTTGTGAATTTATTTTAGCATTTTGTTCCTGTATTATTTTCTTGAATTCTTCCATTTTTTTGTCTGTTTTTTCCTTATTTTTGTCTGCTTTTTGCTTCAACTCTTGGATAATTCTGAATATTAGAGATTTGAATTCCTTATCAGTTAGGTCTAGTGCCTTTTCTTCCACTGGAAGGTCATCTGTTTTATTTTGGACGCCTACTGGAACCATCCTGTCCTGTTTTTGTAAATGTTTTGATATTGTCTGCTGTCTTTGGGGCATTCAGTGGTTATTCTCCTCATTTATTGATTGCAGATTTGTTTGTTTCATCCTGATTTTTTATTTGGTTATGTCTGAGCAGGCGGGCTGTGCATTCTTTGTTGTTTGCTCGTCTGTGGGCATGATACTTTTCACCTCCTTCTCCAGTGGGCAGGGTCAATCACTCAGGTATGGTACAGCAGGGCAGGTCCAGCTGGAGGGGAGTTGCTGGGATGGGTTGTTTGTGGCGTGTACCTGGGCTGACAGTATGGACCGGGAATCAGTGCAGGGCAGGTTCCAGTAGGCTGTGCCTGTGCTGCTTGGGAGTGTGATGTTCAGCGCACAGTGCAGGTAGGCAGGAAGGAGGGGGGAGACTGTGATGTATGGAGCTAAGATGGGTATGGGAAAGATGAGAGAGAGGAGAGAGGAACAGGAGCCAAGAACATACAAACAAAAAAGAGTGCTAAGGGAGCTTGCTATTGCACTGGAGAGATGAGAGGTTGAGAAATGAAGAAAAACAAAAATGAAAAGAAAGAGGGTAAAAGAAAAAAAATGAATAAATCGAGAAACTAGAAATGAAGAAAGACAAAAAGGGAATAAGAAAACAAAACAAAGAAACAAAAAAAGAAAAAGGGATGTCCCTGTGCATCTGCACAGAGTAAAGGAGTAGCTTCCAAGTCGCGTGGTACTGCCCGGCTAGAAGGGGCTCCCAAGCCAAGAAAAAAAAAAAAAATCAAGACAGAACAAATCAGAGCAAACAAACAAAAAAGCCCCAGGGGTCCCACCAGCGTGGCGGCACGGGCTGGGAAGCAGTTTCACAGTCAAGCGGTGTTTCACAGCCTTTCAGGAAGAAGCCAAGATGGCACACGGAGCCAGGTATTTGAGAGAAAGGAGGGGGAGGTGGTGAGAGGTAAGGAGAAATCTAAAGAAGCAGAAAAAAGCAACACCAGTAGCCAACAAAAGGCACTCAGGGAACTGGCCAGTGCAGGCAGGTGGAATCCAAGCAACACCGGGGTGAAGCTGGTGCTTCCTGGCCAAGAGACTGTGGCTGCAGGAAGCAGAGGCTAAGTGGAGGTAAAGAAGGGTAGTGGGCTGGGAAAGCCTATATTTCTGGTTACCAGTTGTTCTGTCTCCTGCTGGAAGCTCCATGAAGCTGCTTTCTCATACCCCCTGTTCGCTGATCTCCAATAGGAGTCCAAGATGGCAGATTCATGCTGCGGTAGCTGATAGGGGACCTCTGCATGTATCTCTCCTCGCTCTCTGTTCTTGGTCAGTTTCTTACTCCATTCAGTGCTTGGCTGAGTTCTTTATCTCTTCATTTGATGCTTAGGGTTTCAGGATTGACATCTGACTCTGTTTGACTGTTTTTCTGATCTTTGCTGCGGAAGGATGATGTGGTGCTTCTGACTATAGCGCCATGTTGCCCAGAAGTCAAAACAACTGTTCTAAATTAATATATTTTAAATACCATTTAAAATTTGAGCACGTAATAAAATTAATGAATTAAAGAGACATTTGGCTTTACTCTAAATCCTCTGTAAGTTTGTAGATCCAAGTTGGCATGGAATTTATTTTGGAGCTCTGCAGTGGGAAAATGTAGTGGCTAGAATCAAGGGGCAGGTCTGAAGCAAAGCCTGCTGTGAGGGCCAGACCACCCGGGCCTTGTACAAGGGCCAGTTAAGGAGTTGGGCTTTAACCTGAGTCAGTGTGTCTGAGGAGGTGACATGGCTAGGTTTCTTAGGAAGATGGTGTGGTTGCTGTGATGTGAGAAATGGATTGAAGGGGGGCTGTGCTGGGATTGGGGATGAGGGGAACTAATGGAGAGTCTTGGCTGCCTCCAGGCTTGGCCTGGACTTGCATAGTGGCCTTAAAGGTGGAGAACAATGGGCAGAGTTTAAGATGCTTATGAGATAGAGTGAACAGAACTTAGTGACAGACTGAGCAAGTGAAGGAGTTGGGATTATTGTCCAGTGATCTGCTTTGGACTACTGGAAGGCTGGTGGGGCCGTTCTCTAAGAGCCCCTGGGGTGGTGGGGAAGGAGTTGTCAGTTGAGATGACATAGTGAGCCTGAGGTGTCTATGGACAGCCAAGGGCTTGCTGGGCAGCCCTTTTTCTCTATGATGAATTTTACTTTTTCTCTTCTACTGTGTCTGCTGTTAAAACTACCTGTTGAATTGTTACTTTCAGCTATTGTATTTTTGTTTTGATTAATTTTAAAATCTGCCAGAGCTCACTTTAGAGTTTTCTGTTCCCTGCAGATATTTTCAAATTTGTCTCTTATTTCTTTAAAATAGTAAAACAATTTAGTTTGTCCCTGATAATTCCAGTGTCTGAAGTACTGGTGAGCCTGTTTTTATTATCTGTTGTTTCTGTTGGTTCTCATCATGGTGTCTTATAGCCTTTTGAACCTGGTCATCTTTGTCTATATTTCAGTAATGTAATTTATAAATCATTTGTACAAATTTGAAGGCTAGGATGAAGGTTCCTTCCTCCAGAGATCTGTCTCTGCCACACACCTGGGATTACTACCAGTCTGAGGCCACCTTAACTGGATTTCAAGGTTCTGTGGAACACTTGGGAGACCTAAAGCCAGATTTCAAGCCCGTGCGAGGATGAGGTTACTTCTGATTCACCTTCACCCTGAGTATGTAGCTCTTTTGCATCTCAACTTAATGTATGGAGGAAGGATTAGACTTCCCACCTTGGGCCAGCCCTTAGGTTTGACTTGTGTTCATCTCACTCTTACAAGGCATCCAAAAACCCAGCTCAGTTTGCAGTTATTTTTTCCAGCCATACACGGAACAAATATTGAATTAAACAAAGTGGAGATGTTTATCCTGGAGGAAGCTTAGGAAGGACAAGCTGGCTGTTCCCAGTCCTGAAAGGCTGTCACATGAAAGGAGAAGGAACTCGGTTTACTGAAGGCAGAGCCAGGGCCAGCAAGGACCACACAGGGAGGCAGATTAGAACTGAAGAGAAGGGAAAACTCCCTAATGCTGAGAGCTGTCTAGAAACAGGATGATGGATCTCCATGATGCAGTGAGGTCTCCTCACTGGAGAGATGTAGCCAGAGGCTGGACAAACCACAGTGGGAAATGTCACAGAGCCAATTCAAACCCCTGCTTTAGGGGCTGGAGGGGACGAGATGTCTGGGAGACGCTTATGATGTTATGTTCTTAACCATATCCTTGTTCCTCAGGGTCATATGTCCTCACAGCTGCCCCCAGCTTCTCCCATGAGTTTGGGTCAACATGTGCTCAAGCCGCCAGAATTTACGATTTTATTTTAAAACAATAGTAAACAATTTCAATGATTTTTCTTAAATCAAACCACTTCACACTTGGCTTGTCTCAGGCAAAAAGTACAAAATAAAAATAAGGGAAGGGGAGGGAAATGTGGGGACTGACCTACCTTCCCCAGAAATAAGCCCCTGGTCCTGGCATCTGGAATGGCTTTTGGACACTGTCTTTAACAAATGAGAAAAGAAAGCACCAAAATATTGTGCTTCAGCAGCAGATTAGGAACCTCCACAAAGAAAAGAGGGAGAAAAGGATTTGAACACAGATCCCGAGTGGCCTGGTTCATTTCTAGAAACTCCCAAGGGTCTGGAAGCATCTCCTCTCCACCACTCCGTCTCAGAGCGACTTAGAGATCAGGCCCTTTAGGAGGCACCCTCCTCCAAGCTGGGCCGGGAGGGATCTGTGAGCCCAGACCCTGACACAGGCTCAAGGGTGAGCCAGAGCAGATTCCCAGCCTATCAAAGGTGGGTAGAAAGGACATGTTCAGAACACGCAGAGAAAAGGGAGGGGGATGTCAGGCACCCACTGCCCCATTCCTTTCACCCCGGCTCCTGGTGCCTTAGCATTTTGTTCGAGGAGTGGGGATGAAGACTAACTGCTACCGGATGGCAGGACAACAAAGAGCTGTAAACAGCTTGGGTTTACTCACCCACAACGTGCAGGCTCTTTTGTCAGAAAGGGACCATTGTCTTGGGGACAGGGGACCAGAGAAAGCCCTTATGGTATAGGGTCAATACGGGGTAGGACACAATGATAGCAGCTGCCAGATGCATGCTCTCTCTGGGCCCTTGCCCCCAAACAAGGAAACACTGAATGAGGTTCTGGAATGGCAATGGTGGCAGGGAGGGGATGGGGACACCCCCCTCCTCCTGGTCCCCCAGGCCACCGCTCAGGTCCAGGGAGAGGTAGTCTTCCCCCCTGGGCTCAAGGCAAAGGGCCTGGGAAGCTGACCTGGGCCCCTCTGTATGCAGTGCAGCCACCGCAGAACAGGCTCGTCCGGCCCATCTCCAAAATCCTATATGCCTTTGACAAAAACCAAAAAATAAATAGTGTGTATTTCTCATGCCACCTGGATTTCCTGGCCCCAAGACCAGAGGCACAAGCCCTCCTCCTCTACCCCACACACTGGTGCCCATGCCAAGGGCACTTTCTGCCCAACCAGGGGCTGGCAGCAGCACAGCAAGGGTCTCTGGCCCTGTGGCCCCCTGGCAACAGGCCCTCCAGGGTCCTGGTTGAGGGGCTGGTTTGGCCCTTTGGTCCACTTTGTTCACCAAAATTAAAATAAGAAAAAAAAAAGGCTCCACTTGGTAACTTGGATCTGTAGAGGTCTCTGCTTCATTGCTCTGTCCATCATTTCGTCCATCCTGCAAGGCATTGTGCAGGCCAGACCTGAAGGCTGGACCCAGCCACACCCACCAGTCACTGTAGTTTCGTCCCCAGCTTGCGCTGTCTGTTCCTGAAAAATGGGGATGGGGGTCAGATTCAGGGATGCCTAGAGCTCAGTGACACGCTGAGTCCCTCTACCCAGATGTCCCCTCCCCACCTACAGTCCTAATGAAATGGGCAACTGAATCAATCAGAGCTCCTGCCCTGGGAATTGGGACTTGAACCTAGAAGCGGTCACTCTCTCTGGCTGGCCTTCATAGTAGATCTCAGGCCTGGAGCTCAGGAAGTGAAGCTATGTGTTTGAAGCGGTGGGTGGGTGGGTAACAGATCAGGATGAGAAAACAGGCAAAAGGGACCTGCTGGATTCCAACTAATTATAGGGAGCTCCCCTTCACACACAGACCCACACAAGTCGGGTTCTGTTATTAGCAACTAAAACAGAATTACAATAAGGTAGTGAGCTCTCCTTTCAGGAGGTATGCATGCAAAGATAGGAGAACTACTGATGGAGGTTACAGAGGGGGATTTGAGGGTGGTGGTGTGGCTACACCCATGATAGACTCAGAAACTTTGAGGAGAGCAGGGATAATCACCTTATTTTCAGGAGGAACTAGCTGAGGCTCAGAAAAGAGAAAGGGGCTTATCTAGGGCCCCATCGTTAAAATCCAGAAATGTTAACAGTGACCTATGAGGCCCTGCGTGATCTGGCCCCAGCCTTGCCCTACCTCCTTGCTCCCTGGTTCCAGCCATACAGGCTCTGTCTGTTTGGTGGACCGCCCAAGCTTCATCCTGCCTTGGGAGCACTGCACATGCTGTTTTCTCTGCTGAGAACACTCTCCCCGCCAGCCCGTAATTTAACTGGCATCCTCTTCACTGTTTGGGCCTGTCTCCTCCTGGGAAGCCCATCCCTGCCCCTACCCCCATGTCGTGTTCCTGTCACAAGTTCTCAAGGTCCTGGGCTTTGCTCTATGGCACTGACCACACAGGTAGGCACATCATTCCTTGTGTTACCATCTGATCACACCTGTCTGCCCTGCCTGATGTGAGCACCACGAGGGCAGGGACCGTGGCTGTCTCACTCTGCACTTAGCCCCAGCACAAAGCCTGGCACAGAGTGAGTACACAGAGATTTTGGTAAATGAAGGCTGGTGGCAGCCAGCCAGGCAAGGCAGGGCAAAGCAAGACTGGCCACTCTCGGGGCGGGGGGTGGGGGGGTGAGAGCTGAGCTGGGGCCAGCTGGGGCCTTTCCACCACTAATGGGATTGCCCCACCCTAAGCCCCTCAAATCCCCTTTCCTCACGGATCTGGGGCTTTACCCTTAAGCTCGTTAGAATAATTTGGACCATGATGCACTAAACACATTTCCTGGCTGCTGCAATGGTCTCGCCCCACCTCACCCTGCCCCATGGCTCCTCTTACCAGCTCCCTGGAAAACTTCCCAGGGCCTGGGCTTCCTCTTCCACCCTCTGAAGCCTGACCCTGCCTCAGCCCACTTCTGAACCCAGGGCAGGCCACCCCTCCCCTCACTCCCTCAGGCGCCTCACCCAGGATTTGGGTAAGTGGAACAGGAGATCTTTGAGTCAGGACACTCCAAAGCCCAGCTTTGCCCCAATTTGCTGTGCAACCATGGCCATCACCCCAACTCACTGTGCCTTAGTTTACCCATCTATAAAAAGATGTCTGGACTAAACAATCCCAAGAAATGTCTGCATGCAGGCACCTTGGGAATCTCCGCTGCCCTGCTCTCAGTTTCTGGGTCGTAGAGGTTAAACGCATGGGCTGTGGGCCAGACAGCCTAGGTTCCAGACTAAGCTCCCTACTCACTAGCTGCCAGACCTCAGGTAGGTGACTCCCTTCTCCTCTCTGAGCCTCAGTGTTTTTACCTGTAAAATGTGGGCCATAAGAGGATTCAATGAGGCAATGAGAGAAAAGTACTTAGACAAGTGCCTGGCTCTCGAGGAACCCTCCAAAAAGGGGGCAGTGGCTGTCCTGGGCCAGGCCCCCCTGAACTCACCTGGCTTCCGCCCGGGTCACTGTGTACTCAAACCAGAGCACGTTGGGAATTAGGCTTGTGTCTCGGATTAGGAAGAACTCGGAGACAGGCCTGGAAAAAGACACCCAGAAGGTCAAGGCCACTTCAGGGCAAGAGACCATCACCAAGCCAGATGCCCCAATCAGTAGCTGGGACAACTGCTGCCCCTTTGCCCCACTGCCCAGGAAGTCTTTGCCTGGCCTGAGATCCCAAAGCCACTGAGCGACCCAGACATGTCACCTGTGTCACCCCGGGCAAGGGCATCGCCCCACAGTATACACAGCCCAATAGGACTCAGGCTGCTTTCTAAGTCCCTGAGAGCCTAGTAGAGGACAAAGGATGGGACCCTAACTTCTGGGCCTGAGGAATGCCTCTTCCCACAACATCTCTGCAGCAAACCCTCTGGAGGAGGTAGAAGCCAGGCAAGTGGGGCCTGCAGCCTTATGCCCACCAGAACCTGGGCACTGGTGTTCTGCCAGGGAGACTGCAGCTGGATCAGGACACCTGGATCCTCCTACTGATGGTCCCATCTGCAGGAAGGGGCAAGGGCCATGGTATCCAGGAAGGTGGGATGGGCAGCAACAGGGGCAGGAGGCAGTTACCAGGCTGCTATCCTGGGGAACAGCGGAGTGAGGACCTCCTGGGTGAAGACGAACCAGGCGATGGCCATGAGGCTCCCAGCGATGCCCCCATAGAGCACCTGGCTCCAGGTGTGGTACAGCAGGTAGACCCTGGGCCAAGGCCAGAAGGGAAGCTCATGAGAGCCAACCAGAGATAGGCCTGCACAATCCCCCATGCCCAAGTGCCAGCTTCCCAGGGACCTGTGTGCACACATGTGGAGACACACAGGACACAGGATGCCGTGAACAAGAGCCTCAGATCTGCATCTGGAAGGAGGCAGGGGGATGGACCCCAACAGTTGCTCCCCTGTCTCTAGAAGTGAGGGGGGAAGGGTGCTTGGCTGGGATCTGCCTCCCTTCTGTCCAGCCCTTGAACTCTTGAGTTCATCTGCAAGGGGCTCTTCCAAGACTCTGGGAACAAACGGCTGAAACATGGAGGTGTCCCCAGAACTTTGGGCTCAACCAGGAAGAAAGAGCAAAGGCTAGGCTGGAAGAGGCAACTGGAACCCTGTCCCTTTAAAATCAGAGGCTGGGACCCCTGCCCCAGCCCTGCCCTACAGGATTTGGGACTAGGGTCCACATTAGGGAGTCCAACAGAGACCAAGAATCCAGAAAGACCCCAAGTGGACAGGGTGTGTGTCGGGGAGGCTTTCCCTTCCTCTGTACCTGCTGTAGGAGACTAGAAAGGCCGAAGTGAGGAGACTCAGGGAGAGCACGTGCCTCCACAGCAAGTCCAGGAACCTGGCGTTGTTCGTTTGGTGCATTCTGGGAAAACAGGCCCATCAGATGGCCTCAGCCCACAGCCTGGAGTCCAGGCCTCCCAAATAGCCCCTGGCCCCATCCAAACACTCCCTGGGCACCTTCTACCTTGGCTCCAGCTCCTCCCACACTTAGCAGAGCCCAAGTCCCAAGGGGGCGTCCTAAGAGCTAGCAGTGACCCCTGGTGCAGCCCAGCCTGCGACAGCATAGGGCCACCCTGGCCAGATCAGAAACTCACCTTAAATACAGAAAAAGGAAGGAATAGACGGAGAAGAACCACATAAACTGGGAATGGCTGGAGGGCATCCCGTACTTGGTGCCCACTGCTGTGTGGAGGCCTGGGAGAGAAAGGAGAGCAGGGCATCATGGGAGGATTCAGGCCTCCAAGTAATGCCCTGACCTGGGGACCCCCCAAGCCCCTGCGGATCAGGTCCTACCTGCACAGGGCCGTGGCTCCTGGATGACGTGTTTGATCAGCCAGTTGACCCCCTCGTTCAGTCCCAGGCCCCCGAGGAATGAGATCTGCTGGGGAAGATGTGGGATCAGTTGGGTCTCTGTGTACCTGCCAGCGGCCACCCAGTCCCAAGAACCCTGGCCTCTGATTGAACCTCCCAGCCCAACTAGTGAATAAATCTGGAACAAGTCAGGAAGTTCCACACACCTCAGAAAAGGTGGAAGCAGGGAAGGGGAAAGAAAACACCTGGGAGGTTGCAGTTTCCTCTTGCTTGGGGTGGAGTTACTGGGGAGCAGGTAGAGGGTGGCAGCGGGGGGCAGACTCACCGTGTGCAGCTCCCGCTTGAATATGATGAGGGTCACGAAACCAACGATGACAAACACAGGGCTGAGGCTCAGGTAGGCAAGGACGTGGCCTGAGAGATCACCTGGGGAAGACAGGGAGAATAGGATGAGGCTACAGCATAGGCATCCAGAGAAAAGGAGCTGCCCCTATGAGTAAGACCCAGTCCCCAGCAAGTCCCAGAGTTGTCCAAGTAGGGCCTGAGCCAGGAAAAGGATCCCCAGCAGGGCCAGAAGTGCAGCGCCAGGCAGCCAGAGATGCCTCAGTCTACCAACCGGCCATACCAACTCAGTCATAGGCATAATATGACAGCCCCTGTTTACCAAGCTAAAGTTCACACAAGGAGCCCTGATGACGCAGTGGTTAAGCACTCGGCTAATAACCGAAACGTTGGTGGTTCGAAACCACTAGCTGCTCCAAGGGAGAAAAGATCTGGTGATCTACTCCTGTAAAGATTTACAGTCTAGGAAACTCTTTGGGGCAGTTCTACTCTGTCCTATAGGGTTGCTATGAGTCGGAAATGACTTAATGGCACACAACAACAAAGTTCATATGTCATGAGTTTGAAGCAGGTGCCTTTACTATCCCCATTCTACAGATGAAGAAACTGTCATGGATTGAATTATGTCCCCCTAAAAATGTGTGTATCAATTTGGCTGGGCCATGATTCCCAGTATTGGGTGGTTGTCCTCCATTTTGTGATTATAATTTTATGTTAAAGAGAATTAGGGTGGGATTGTAACATCTTACTAAGGTCACATCCCTGATCCATTGTAAAGGGAGTTTCCCTGGGGAGTGGCCTGCATGATCTTTTATCTTACAAGAGATAAAAGGAAAGGGAAGCCAAGTAGAGAGTTGGGGACCTCATACCACAAAGAAAGCAGTGCCAGGAGCAGAGCGCGTCCTTTGGACCTGGGTTCCTTGTGCAGAGAAGCTCCTAGTCTGGGGGAAGAGAAGGCCAACAGAGAACGAAAGGCTTCCTCTGGAGCTGATGCCCTGAATTTGGACTTTTAGCCTACTTTACTATGAGGAAATAAACTTCTCCTTGTTAAAGCCATCCACTGACAGTACTTCTGTTACAGCAGCACTACATGACTAAGACAGAAACTAAGTTGCAGAGGGGTTACATGACTTGCCCAAAGTCACATAGCCAGAATGAAGTGGGACCTGGACTAAAATCCAAGTCTCTGGTCTGGTCCAGGGTTCTTTACTCATCACTCCCACTCAAGCAGGATTTGAACCCAGCTTGGTCTAACTCCAGAAGCCGAGCCTTGTACGAGGGAGGCAGCCTGGAGGGCATGGGGGTGCCTCTGTAATATAGAGACTCCGTGCTGGGGCTGCCCCAGCTGAGCTCTGGGCCTTCAGGGAAGCTTGGTGTTCTCTGAGCACCACACAGACTCAGGTCCACACTGAAGACTCTGACAGGGGCCAAGGTCAGGGGTGAAGGAGGCTACTCTGCCCAATATGGCCACCTGTCACAGTAACAGCTTCTTGCCATCTTTCTACCAGCAAGAAACTGATCTAGTCACCTGTTTGGAGCCCTAGTGGTGCAGTGGTTAAGAACTCGGCTGCTAACCAAAATGTTGGCAGTTCAAATCCCCCAGCCGCTCCTTGGAAACTCTATGGAGCAGTTCTACCCTGTCCCATAGGGTTGCTATGAGTTGGAATTGACTCGACAGCAGTGGGTTTGGTTTTTTTTTTTGAACAGGCCTGGGAGGACCCCTGGTGGCACAGAGGTTAAATTGCTTGGCTGTTAACCAAAAAGTTTGATGGTTTGAACCCACCAGCTGCTACACAGGAGCTACGCAGGAGAAAGACGTGACAATGTGCTCCTGTAAGGATTTACAGCCTTGGAAACCCTATGGGACAGTTCTACTCTGTCCTATAGGATTGCTACAAGTCGGAATTAACTCAACAGGAGCGGGTTTTGGAACAAACCTAGGACGGAGGCAGTGTGGGGACTGCCAGCCCCTTTTGAGAGATGGGGACACTGAAGCCAAGAGATGAGAGCCACTTTCCTGCTTGCCCAACAGCAGGGCTGAGCTGAGTCCAAAGGCTGCCCTCACCATTTTGAGCCTGAGCAGCTATGTGGCCACTCTAGCATCACAGAGCAGGGTTCAGGTTCTCGGCCAGCATTTGCTGGCTGCATGGCCTCAGGCCAGGACTTCACCTCCCTGAGCCTCAGCTATCTCACCTGTAAAATGGGGATATTAGTGCCTACTTCCTATGGTTGTGTGAACATTTGATGAGACAGAGACTGTGAGATTCCCAGCTCAGTGCCTGGTATCCAGGGCACTTCCCTGTTGGGAGGAATCAGTGTAGGAAATGGCCCTTACCACCAGCCTGGTCTCATGCAGGGCTGAGCTCAGATCCCAGACCTGAGGAGATGGGCACACACACTTGGCCTCATCTCCACCTACCCAGGCAGTGCTGTCTTGGAGTTGGCCTGGAAGAACTTGGTATCCACCTGGGTGACATCAACTGGGCCCCCCTGGGTGACGGGGTGACACTGGGCAAGGCCTTCCCTTTTCTGGGCCTGTCTCCCCAGCCATAGAATGGCCTGGCCCCTTCTAGCCCTCAGGTTCTGTGTCTTTCAGCCTCGCCGCCAACCTCCAGGGCACTGGGCTGTTAGGACAGGGGGTGGCTGGCTCCCACAAAACTTTGGCCGTCTCCATGGCCCATCCCACGGTCAGGCCGCCCTAGGGCCTTCCTGCAGATTCTCACCACTCTCTGCTCCAAGTCCCTCTATGGCTGCTACTGCTCTTGGGCTAAGTCCAACCTCAGCCTAGCTTATCAGGGCCAACACAACCCTGACCCTGCTTCTCCCACTCTCTGCTCCAGCTCCAGGGACCTAACACTAGCTCCCTGAATGCACCGTGCTCTGTCCTACTTCTGGATCTTTGCACACACCATTTTCCCCACCTGGGATGCTGTTTGGGTTAATGCAACAAACATACATTAAGTATCCACCACAGTGGGAAAAAAAGGCACAGTCCCGCTGTGGAACTCTCAGTCTGGCAGGGGATCTGTAATCAAAGCATCATTCATGATACACTCATTAGTGCAGATATTGGGCTGATGTCTGTCTCTCCCTCTATACTCCGTAAGAGCAGAGACAGGGTCTTTTTACACCCGACTCCACCTGCCAAGCTCAGCACAGCACGTGGCACTTAACTGTGCTCCAAACCTATGTAAAGTGAATAGATGAATGAAGCAACTACCAGTGTGGTGAGGGTATGAAGGCAAAGTGCAGGGGGCCGTAGAACAGTTTGCAGAGAACTAATATTCACCAGATGCCTCCAGACTCAGCAAGGTCCCTCCTTTGGACATCTACAGTCCCTGCAAAGGGTCCCTCATTGCAGCCCGAGTAACGCTGTTTGCAACTAGCAGGTTCCTTCCTGTCTCACTTGTTAGAGCGTGAGCATTACCAGAAGCTACTCTGAGGCCAGAGAGGGGAGGCCACAGAGCTTCTGAGGCCTTAGCCAAGGCCCCCTCCCACTCCAGGCCTCAGTTTCCCTCCTATAAAGCAGGGGTTTTTTATAGCCCAGGAGGGAAGGGACATATTAGGCCTATGCCAGCCTGGGGCCTGGCACTCAGGAGCTCAGTGGATACTGGTTGAATGAACGGATAAATGGCGGGCAGGCAGGCAAGAAGGGATCAGTTCCTGTCAGTGTCACCTCACCTCCAGTACAACCCAGAACACCCAGGGTCAAAAGTCCCTGGCATCCAGCCCTGAGGTCCTCAGCAGGGCCAGGTTCTTACATCCCTGTCCATGACAGCAGCAGGAGCAAACCCTTCCTGGGACAACCAGGACTCACCCTGCACCCCAACATCCTAACCAGGGATGGAAGGGTAGGGTTTGGAGGGCCCTGGTAAGGTGGAATAACATTAACTGTAATTATTTACTGAACGCTTACTGTGCACTAGGTACTGAGCTCAGCACTTCTCATGGCCTCGAGTAATCTGATTCTCACATCATCTAAGAGGGTGGCACTAGGATTAGTTCCATTTTAGAGATGATGTAACTGAGGCACAGAGCAGTGGAGTCACTTGGACAAGGCCTTAGCCTCTGCACCACTTGTACTAGACTGCTTCCCTTACGGTCGCTAATGGACCTCCCAACTGGAAAACCTCAGCTTCTAGGGATACCTCTCATTGGAAGCCCTCAGAAGTCAAGATCCCCGAGTCTGCCTGCCCCCTCTACAGTGGAGACTGCCCTACTCAGGGCGTGGCACCCTGAAGCTACTCAAACAATAGCTGCCTGACCTCGGCTTGCACACTCCCAGCAATGGGGAGCTCTTTCTCTTACAGGCAGACCCAAAGCACTATTTGAAGGAAACAGTCACTCCCTGCACGCTGAGGAGGGAGTCTGGCCTCCCTGGCTCCGGGAAGGGCGGGGAAAAAAGGGGCAAGGTCCAAGTGAGCAATCCTTTCCCGCCTCACGATAGACCCCCGCCCTACTACAGCCCATCCGCCCCCCGAGACCTGGGGGCGCGACCCAAACGCGCAGCCGCAGAGTGCGCGAGCGAGCGGCTCACAATTTCTCCCAGCTCATCGCCGCACCACTGCGCCTGCGCGGCGCGCGCGCCGGCCGAGCCCCTCCATGGCTCACTATTTGACAGTTCCCATCCAGGTCCCCCGGCGCCCCCTTCTCAGGCTCGCGCGGACTGGAGTGCCCGTGGCTGAGTGGACAGCCCCGGGAAGGCGTCCTCAGATCCGAGGCCGCCTTTTACCTGCAGGATATTCGACGTGGGTGAGGGTCACCGGCCGCCATGAAGCGGGGAGCGAGCAGTGTCCGTCCGCTGCCATCTTACCCGGAGACCGGGCTTCGCCAAGCAGCCAATGGGGAGCCAGGGGGGCGGTGGTCCTGACCTATCAAGCCAAGGAGGCGCGGCGCAGCCAATCAGAGGCCAGTACAGGTAGCAGCGCGACCATTCAGTGTGCAGGCTGTGGGGCTGGCCCGAGCGGCGAATCAGAGAGCGAGGCCCTTAGGAACCAGCGAGCCGACCAAGCCGGTGCCCAATCCAGGGCGAGCGCAGGTAAGTGCTTGGCCAATCAGAAAGGGGGAGGATTCCAGTACCGAACAGAGAGCAGAACAGCCAATCAGAAGGTGAGGCCGGCTCGAAATGTGAGCAGGGCGGACCAATCAGGTGCTAGCTTGAGGGGCGTGTTGGGCTTTGGTGGGAGCTTTAGTTTGGATGGAACCTGCGGCTCGGAGTGAGTGAAGGCTTCTCCGGTACCCGGAGCTCGCCGGGGTTGGCGGAACCTGGGGGACCGTCAGAGCGCATGCTCGAAGGGTAAGGGCAACCTCGGCACCGTGGGGTTGGAGCCGACACACTCTTCATATGAGTAAACTATGCCGAAGACCCAGAGGGTACTTATTTTTCTCTGCTGTTTTCTGACCGGTAGAAAGGCACACAAAGCAGACAACCGTCTTATTAACAGTGTCTGGGGTGGTACGCGTAAAAATGATTGAATTGGTAAGTGTTTATGTATATATTTCACCACAATTAAAAAAAAAAAGAGTTTGTGGGATGAGGGCAGGAACTCCCAGGGCTAGGAGCACGGTAGGCCTCCTAAACACCTTCTATAAAGGTGTTTATAGAATGGAAGCTTAGTTGATGCTAAGAATGAAAGCTTAATTGAAGTTAAGAAGGACTCCTTTCATTCATTCAACAAAGATTTATTGATTCAGTCACATTTCTGCTACTTAATGAGGCATCTTGGGAGCATTTTAAACAAGAAGTCGCTTTTCCACATATATCTCAAAACCAAAAAAACCAAATTCGTTGCCATCGACTGGATTCCGATTTATAGCTACCCTATAGGACAGAGTAGAACTGCCCCATAGAGTTTCCAAGGAGCGGTTGGTGGATTCAAACTGCTGACCTTTTGGTTAGCAGCCAAGCTCTTAACTGCTGTGCCACCGGGGCTCCACATACAGCTGTTTCCCTAAAACATTCCTTTCGGGCCCTGCATAAAGAACTGCACCTTCCCACCCACCTCACCCTCTCCTACCACCACTCTCTCCCTAGCCAGATTGAATGGCTGGCAGTCCAGGTAAGGTGCTGGCTTCCTCTTGTCTCCTGGACTTTGCACATGCTGGTCCACTGCCTGGAATGTACCACCCCTCCAGTCCTAGTTTGCCTGACTGTAAAAACAGCATGGGGGTGTCATGGTTTGAACTATGTCCCCCAAAAAATGTGTGTATAAATTTGGCTAGGCCCTGATTCCTGGTACTGTGTGATTTTCCTGTATGTTGTAAACCTGCCTCTATGATGTTAATGAGGGAGGATGGGTGGCAGTTGTGTTAGTAAGGCAGGACCTGATCTACAAGACTGGATTGTGTCCTGAGGCAATCTCTTGAGATATAAAAGACAGAAGTGAGCAGAGAGACAGGGGGACCTCATACTGTCAAGAAAGCAGTTCCAGGAGCAGAGCGCGTCCTTTGGACCCGGGTCCCTGCGTCGAGAAGCTCCTAGTCTGGGGGAACACTGATGAGAAGGCTGAGAGAGAGAAAGCCTTCCGCTGGAGCTGACCCCTTGAATTTGGACTTTTAGCCTACTTTGACTGTGAAGAAATAAACTTCTCTTTATTAAAACCATCCACTTGTGGTATTTCTATTATGGCAGCACTAGATGACTAAGACAGGGACAATGTCTGACCTCCTCTAACTTCGTAAGGGGGAAGGATAATCAAGATGAACAGCCCAAGGCTGATTCCTATGAGGCGGGATCGGACATGCTTCCTCTCTCTGCCATCCATTGCCCAATTAGGGTCCGTGCCCTGGAGCAGTCGACTCCAAGTCAGAAAGAGTGAGAAAGTTTATTTAGGAGGTGTCACCACCGGGGATCCGACAGCAACGCAGGCTGTCTCTATGGAGTACCAGAAAGCATTTTTACATTAGAGCTTATATATGAATTTTACAAAGGTTAAAAGTGTCTTTGTAGCCCACAGATCGCCGGCCGGATGAGTTATTCATTACAAGGTAATTACAGGAGACTCTTCATCATACTAAAGAGATACATGCCCGACATCTCCTTATCAGGCTAAAGATACACGTGTCAGACGTGTCAGACGTCTGGGCTCTAATCTTCCTGTGGGGGGTCATAAGCCACAGGTGGCCAGACAGAGGAAAACAAAGTCATTAACAAAGGTATGCAGGAACCAGAAGGCGAAGAAAAAAGAAAACATAGGTTCATCATGGCGTCAGTTATGTCAAGCTCTCAGTTGCCCATTTTGTGAAAAGGAGAAACATGCTGGGGAGTATTAGGGTCATGCATCTTTACCAATTCTGACACCAACTGTCCCTCCCATGGCACTCCTCTACTTCTCTGCTGGGTTCAATAATTCACTGCAGTGGTCACCCAGAACTCACAGACAATACTCATGATTATGGGGCTGATTTGGGAAATAACAGGTTACAATTCGGGATTGGGAATGCTCAGGATACAGTTCTTCCAACAGGACAGCCTCTTCTCAGCCGCCTCTCTGGCCTTTGGCCTCTACCCTGCTTGGGCAAGTATTACAAAACTTTTAGCTCCGCTGATAAGTGCCCAGAAGCACTCCACCAGCAAGCCTCCTGCCCAAACGCACTCAGCTTTCTCATTCCGTGGGTGGGAAGCCCACCACGCCATCTCCTGCCAGTCTCTCTTGCCCATCTCTCCTGCTGTCATTTCTTTGCCAGTGCTTCTTGCCATCTTCCATGTCTTGGTCTCTGGGTTCCAAGAGCTTCTTAGCACAGGGATCCCAGGTCCAAAAGATGTGCTGGCTCTTCTTCCTTGGTGGTGGTGGGCTCCCCTCTCTGCTCTGGAATTGGCTGTCTTTTTAAGGCAAAACTGACCGGTCCCCTTGGTAGCCTACAATTGCCTTATTTGCACGCTCCCACCCAATCACTTGGGTGGCAGTTACAAGACCATGGCTAGAAAGACCACACAGAAGTGATCCATCACACCATACTGACCAAATCCAGCTCAAATGTCTATTCTCACTTAGAGGTTTCCTCAGCTAGGTGAAGAACCTCCACTGGGCTCCAACAGTTGCATCCCTTTCCTACCTCAGCTCTGACCACCAAACACCAAAACCCACTGCCATCAAGTAGATTCCAAGTCATAGAGACCCTGTAGGACAGAGTAGAATTGCCCCATAGGGCTTCCAAGGCTGTAATCTTTACGGAAGCAGACTGCACATCTTTCTCCTGCGGAGCGGCCAGTGGGTTTGAACTGCCAACCTTTCAGTTAGCAGCTGAGCACTTTGACCTCTGTGCCACCAGGGCTCGCTTGACCACACTGGACTGTAGCTGGTTCCTTGTCTGTCTTTCCCACTAAACAATGATTCTCTGACTTCATAGAGCACCAGGATCAGCTTGTAGAAAATGTAGATTCCTGGACTGTACCGGGGCCAGAGGTCTTTTGCAGCAGATTTACCCAATGCAGTACATCGTTTGATTGACATATTGCATTGGGTAAATCTGCTGCAAAAGTCTTCTTCAAAGTGTTTAAAATCAAAGATGTCACTTTGGGGACTAAGGTGCTTTTGACCCAAGCCATTGTATTTTCAGTCGCCTCATATGCATGTGAAAGCAGGACAGTGACTAAGGAAGACCAAAGAATTGATGCATTTAAATTATGGTGTTGGCAAAGAATACTGAATATATCATGGACTTTCCGAAGAATGAACAGATCTGTCTTGGAAGACGTACAGCCCAAACGCTCCTTAGAAGCGAGGATGGTGAGACTTCATCTCACTTACTTTGAACATGTTATCAGGAGGGACCAGTCCCTGGAGAAGGACGTCATGCTTGGTAAAGTAGAGGGTCAGTGAAAAAGAGGAAGACACTCAACAAGATGAATTGATACAATGGCTGTAACAATGAACTCAAACAGCAAAAATTGTGAGGATGACACAGGACCAGGGAGCATTTTGGTCTGTTGTACATAGGGTCGCTATGAGTCAGAACCAACTCGCCGGCAACCTAACAACAACACTGGGGCCAGGGCTGATTCATCAGGTCTGGGTCAGAGCCTTGAAGTCTGCATTTTTATGTGCTCTGAGGGTTCCAATATAGGTGGTTTTATCCAGTTACACCTGAAGAGGCACTGGGCTCCATGAGGACAGGGCCTGTTACATTCTTGAGCCTAGGCCAGGCCTAGAACAAGTGCCTGGTAAATGACAGAAGTGCTTATAAAGTGAAGAATAAACTAGGGAATCCCACTGACCAGAGTGTCTCACTCTGTGAGCCTGCTAGGCAGCTGGAGCCAGGATTGTAGTGTGGACTGGGTTGGGGGGATGATGAGGATTTAGACCTACCATTGAACCAGGTAGGGGCCCCCAACCCCAGCTCAGCTGTGCTCAGCTCCCCACCTGGCCTAGCCTGGGCTTGCCTGGGTCATCTGGCCCCACTTCCCTGTCACCTGCCCTCAGCTACCTCAGGCACTGCCATTATTAGCCTCTGAGAAGCAGGGTGTGAGGAGCAGGCTGTGAACTTTCCAGAATAGTCCCCTGGGATAGGGCAGCCATCTTAGGTCTGGGCTGCATCTCCCCCGCCTGGTTAGCGGCCACTTTACTGATGAGCAAATAAACCTAGAATGGCAAAGTCCCTGAAACTCAGGCCTATCCAACTCCAAAGTCCTCTTGCCTCAGAGCATTCCCGAGGAAGTGACAGGGATGAGGAGCTGTAAAATGAGGGGGACTCTTCAGGCCTAGGGGATAGAGTTTTCCAGGTAGAGGGGACAGCATAGGCAAGTGCCCTGCAGCAGATGTATAGCTAGAAATAGGCAAGAGAGAGAGAGAACAGGATGAGGTGGTGGGTGAGGGGGCAAGGTTGGCAGGGGCCTGGTCATGCAAAACTTTGTGAGCCACTGTTGGTGGTGAGGACAGAGGGGAGCGCTGAAGGATGGGTTATTTGCTTTTTTTTTTTTTTTGAAATTAAAATATAACATTCATACAGAAAATTCTAGAAATCACACATGTACAGATTGATGAATTTTCACAAACACAACACACCTGTGTAAGCAGCCCCTAGCTCAAGAAGCAGATCATCACATCCCAGGAGCCCCCTCATACCCCCTGTCCTGTCATCACCCCAGGGTGACCACCATCCTGACTTCTAGTACCATAGATTTGAGTTTGTCTGTTTCTGTACTCTCTAAGTTTTAAAAAATAAAAGATGTCACTTTGATGACTAAGGTGCACCTAACTCAAGCCATGGTCTTCTCAGTTGCCTCATATGCATGCGAAACCTGGACAATGAAAACGGAAAACAGAAGAATTGGTGCATTCGAATTGTGGTGTTGGTAATGAATAGTGAATATACCATGGACTGCCAGAAAAACGAGCAAATCAATCTTAGAAGAAATACAACCAGAATGCTTCTTAGAAGCGAGGATGGCAAGACTTCGGCTCACTTACTTTGGACACATCATTAGGAAAGACCAGGTGCTAGGAAAGGGCATCATGTTTGGCAAAGTAGAGGGTCAGTGAACATGAGGGAAACCCTCAGTGAGATGGACTGGCCCAACAGCCACAACAATGGACTCAAACGTATTAACGACCATGAAGATGGCACAGGGTCAGGCAATGTTTTGTTTTGTTATACATAAGGTCGCTTTGAGTCAGAGCCAACTCAATGGCAACTAACAACGTAAATGGAATCCTACAATAAGCACTTTTTTGCATGGGCTTCTTTCACTCGGCATTGCATTTGCGAGATTTACCCATGCAGTGGCCTCTGGCTGTAGTTTGTTCACTGTCACTGGTATGTGGTAATCCATGGTGTGAACATACCACAGTTTATTTTTCATTCTGCTGCTGATGGATATTTGTTTCCAGGCTTGAGGTGTTATGAATAGTGCTGCTGTGAACATTCGCGTACATGTCTTTGATGCACATATGGATGCATTTCTGATATGTGCCCAGGAGGGTCTCATGAGGAGATAGAAGAGATGAGGTGGTCAGGCCTCCTGTGTGGATGAGGGGCTGGGCAGTGCAGGCGTGAGTGCTTCTAGGAGGCTCATGGGAGGTGACCTGCCTCCTCCCGAGTGCAGGGTTAGACCAGTGACATTCCTGATATCACTCTGAACATCCTGGGAGGTGCTCCACCTTAGTCCGTCGCATTATCTTCACAACAATCCTGCAAGGCAACCTTTCATGCCATGATTTTATAGCTGAGAACAGTAAGGCTCGAGAGTGTAAGGCCATTTGCATGGTCATCTGGCTAGTATGTGGTGGCATCAGGATTTAAATCTAGGTCTGCCTGATGGGCAGGCCCAAGTTCTGAACCACCCTGCATCCCATGAACCAAGCTGCTGGCTGCCTCTGCCCACTGCCCAAGATTGGGTCTGGCCTCTCACCTCTGGCCTCTCTGGCAGGGAGTTCACAGCCAGGTGGCCCCCAGATTAGAGGCACAAAGTCTAACTCCATGCACCACACCACACCACAACACACCACACTGTTTTGTGCTTAAAGTCCTGGCAAGCTGTTAGGAAACTGTTTTCACCTCTCTGGGGCTGTTTCCCAGAACTATGGCACCTGCTGTCCTCTAAGCTAGAAGTTCATTCATTCATTTCAGGAAATATTTGAGCTCCTAGAAGTTTCAGGCCATGTGTGGGCACCAGGGATGAAGAGAGAGTATGACCAGCAGGAGCACCACCCTTACATGAGGTAGAACTCCTGGAACCCAAAAGACAAAGTGTCTTGAACTAGAAGTGAAATTTTTGGCTGTCAAAACCTCTGAGAGGAGCCATTGTCCATCTACTAGAAAAGAAGCTTCTGGAAGGCTGGCCTGGGTTTCCACATGCCATGGACTGAGTCCCTGAGAAAGAAATGGTCAGGCCCATCCCTGGGCTACAAGCTCACTGAGGGCAGGAATGTGTGAGCTGGTAAACTGGATGTGGGGGTGGGGTAAGCCCTGGTTTGTAGCATTTGCTGATTTCCATGGTGTAAATACTCTCTTCTCACTGCAGCTGATTCAAGCTACCACCATGACATTACTGACCAGGTAGCTGGAAGAGATGCACAAAGGCAGCTCTCGAGAGCCAGTGTGGTGGCAGCCCTGGTGCAGTTCTCCCACGGCTTGTGCGATGCCTAGAGCAGTGCTTGGCACGCAGTAGGTGCACAATAAATATTTGGTGAATGAATGAATGATCGTTCTTCAAGTGTAGGTTCTGGAAGACATCTATATTGTAGATCTATATTGTAATTCAGACAACTGTTTGCTGTGTACTTGGTGTGAGCCACATCATGTGCCAAAGACTCAGCACTGCACTACCCTCCTGACAACTGCATGAGAATAGGTCTCCTGAGCATGAACAGAAGCTCCACAACCGCCTGTGACCCTACGTGAATACAAACATCTCCAAGACGAGCAGCGCGGGACAGCGGACAGAACGTTGGGCTAGGGTTCAGGATACCTGGTGTCCATCCTGAGCTGCCATGGACTCACTGTGTGCAGTGGGGTAGTCACCCTGCCCTACTCAGTTTCCCCTTTCATCAGAAAGGGAACTGGTATCAGTTATCTACTGCTGAGTAACAAACCACCCCAAAACAGAGTGGCTTAAACCACTACTATTTATTGCTCAAGATCTAGTTGTGGCTGGGCTCCGCTGGGCAGTTCTCCTGGGCTGGGTCACTCATGCAGCTGTGGTCATGCGGTTACTCGGCTGAGCCTGTGTGGGCCAAGAGCGCCTCCCTCAGGTCTGGCAGTCTGCTGGGGCTGTTGGCCAGCATGCCTCTGTTCTCCCGCAAGAGCCCAGTGCTCATGAAGCCTCTGCGTGCATCACATCTGCTCTTGTCCCACTGACCAAAGCAGGTCACATGGCCATGCCCAGCATTCGTATGGAGAGGACCGTACAAGGACTGGGATCCCGAAGGGCAATGATTCATTGGGGGCCAGTATTTTAAAAGTCTACCACGGAGAAGGACCAGGGTTCCCCTTGGGGCTTCCCAGCTCTGGTCTCTGGGATCCAGAGGTGCCTGGAACATCTTGTCTTGCTAGAAAAGAAGTGCTCAAAGACTGATTGTGGGGAGAGGTATCAAAAGGACCCAGGAGACAGCTTGAAGGGGCTGGCCAAGTATGTGACAATTTACGCATCAAAAGAATGATTATAACCGAATGTAAAATTGCTAAACAAAAACCCGTGAGAAGGGGAGATGGTTGTACATGATGAACCTAATTAAGGTTACTGAGTTGTAGATGTAAAAAATGTTGAAATGGCAGATGTTTTGTTTTATATATATACTTACCACAATTAAAAACAAAAAGGGGGAGGACAAAAAAAATGAAAACAAAACACGAAAGAAAAAAACAGATAAATGAAAAGGGGAATACTACTTGCAGAATACTATTTATTCAGCAACAAAGAAAACAAAATACTGATGCATCCATGTTTTGAGGTTCAACATAGATGAACTTTAAAAACATTCTCAGTGAAAAAAGCCAAGCACAAAAGACCACATACTTATGAGTCTATCTGTAGGAAATGTCCAGAAACTGGAAATCTATAGAGATGGAAAGCAGATTAGTGGGGGGCTCAGGGCTGGGGGTGTTTCATGCAAACGAGGACAAAGGGTCTTTCAGGGATAATGAAGATGTTCTAAAACTAGATTGTGGTAATGGTTACACAACTCTGTAAATTTACTAAAAATCATTAAATTGTACACTTCAAATGAGTACATTTTATAGTGTGCAAATTATACCTTAGTGAAGCTGTTTAAAACAAAACAAAACAAACCCAAGACCCTCATCTGCCAGTACTGGAGTGATTACTATATCATATAAGCTCATGTCTCTGAAAATTGGTAAAGGTAACGATTTCGGTGGAACTTTGTCAGTGGAACTGGAGTCCATCCCCAGTTGACTGGGAAAACTTCTTTTCCAAATCCCAGCAAAGATATCAGTTACTGATAATTTTTTTAGGTCCATAGTATTTTGGTTAGTTAAAGAACTACCTTATTTTTAAGATATGCATGCTCAGGTACTTAGGGGTGAAATACATGTCTAAAGCTTATTCTAAAATACTTTAGAAAAGAAATATACACAAGAAATAAATATGGCAAATGTTAATTTCTGAATCTAGGTGTTGGTTTTATGAGTGTTCTTTATATTGTTTTTTTCAAACTTTTCCGTACGTTTGAAATTCTTAAAAATAATTTTTTTTTTTTAAAGTAACTTTCAAATAAAACTTGCAATTTCCAACTGCCCGTGAAAAAATCTGAAGATCTGGTAAGCCTGGATCGGCCAGTCTGCAACTCCTGGCCTGGTCCAACACCTGCATTTTACAGACGTGGAAACTGAGGCCTGGAGAGAAGTGACCTCCCCTGGCTGGTGACTGGGCTGGATCCACACCCGGCTGCCCACCCTGCCAAGGGATAGATGGACCCTGTCAGGCTGCCAAGCAGCCCAAATGGGATTACAGCCCCCAACAAACTTTCCCGGACCTTTATCCTCCAAGAACGTACACCAACTGTACCCCAAAGAGCAGGTCCCTGGCTCTGGCCCAAGAAGCAAATGGCCACACATGTGCCCAGCAGTATGGCCATGTGGAAAGAAACTGTTTATTTGACTCACATTCGGTGCGCACACTCTACTGTACAAAAGTTGGAAGCTGCAGCAAATCGAGTGCTAGAGTCAGTGCGTGGACGTGTAAACAAAGACAAAACGAAAATGCCACTTCTGTGTAATTCGGGAGCAAATCAGAGTGGGCCGGGGCTCAGGCCCAAGAATACATTCACAGAGAAGGGTTAAGTGCAAATGAATGGAATGTCAGGAATGGAGGGAGGGCTGCCTGGGTTCCTTCCTGCCCAGGAGAGTGCTCCCTTCTGGGTATCAGCCTCATGGGTGGGCATGGGGCCAGAACCATCATTAGTGCCCAGCGGTCCTCCAGTTGGGAAGCAGGAGGGAGGATGTCGGGTGGGGCAGTCTCAGAGACAAAGCCATGCCCAATGTCGCCCCTCTCCATGCTCCCCTCTTCCTGGCACACCGTTCTGCCCTACATGGGCAAGATCACCCCACTCCTGGGATGCCTTTTACGCTCAGGGGAGAGAGACCCAGGTCTGAGGAGCCAGTCCAAACTCCAGAGTATGGAAAACCAGCAGATCCATTTCTCCTGCAGGTCTCTCAACACGGAAAGGGTGGTCTCAAAGTAAAGTGTTAAGGCAATAAATAAAACATCCCACCTCAGGTGAAAACACTGTAAAGTGAGTCTGCAGGGCTGACAGGAGCCTGTCAGTGTGGGGACACAGCGGTGGGACAAATGCTAACAGGACTTCCTCTGCAGGACCAGCGAGGTGGTGCCACCCTGGAAGGCTCTGCGCCAGCTACCAGCTTTGAGAGCATTTGTGCGTCAAATTGAAGGCAAGTGCCGGGAAATCCGCACTATCCAAGTTTCTCGTCCGAGTGAGGGTGGAGGAGCTGCTGCAGACATCCTCTGATTTCTCCCATGTGGTCCCTGGCCCCCTCACTCCTGGGGTCACCACGATAGCAGCACAGGTGCCTGAGAGTGACCGCTGGATAGGGCCCCCAGCTCAGAGCCTAGCGTCGCCCAAGGAGTTCTTGACTCACAGAGAGGTAGGTGGGAGCAGGGCACCCAGCCCCACCACCCTCCCGTCTTTGGTGGTGGTGGAAAAGACACAATCTTTGGCAGGGTGAAGGAATGTCTGAGTGGACGCTTTGGTGCTTGGGGTTGTCAAGGGCCCAGCCCTGCCCAGATGTGAGCACGGGAGAGATGCCTGCTCTCCCTGTCCCCCTCTGGATGGTCCAGGCCTGCCACCTACTAAGGTGCCCCATCTCTCCAGCCCTCACTCTGCGGCCCCACCCTCCTCTCTCCGGAGTTGCAAACTCTCCAGGCTAGTGGCAGGTGGTGGGGTAGTTAGGGCTGTCAGCCAGAGGCCTGGACCCTGAGGCCGTCCAGCCCCAGACTCATTCTCGCTCAGGACACCGTGACCTTCAGCACAGCGCCCTCCAGTCTTCCACCTGCCCCCTCCTAGCCCCACTGCCAGTCTCTGTCAGCAGCCCCCAGGGCCTCCAGGCTCTGCTTATCCTAGTTCTACTCCTCCATGTAAACACCTTTCCCTTCCTCCTCTCCCCTTTCTCTTTTCCCTTCTCTCTGTTTCCACCTTCTTCTCCCTCAGGCCCCACCAGCTGCTGCTTCCCCCTAGCAATAGCTGAGGGCAGTCAGGGCTCCAGCAGGCTGGTCCCCACTCCAGGCCCCAGCATCTCCAAGGAAGATCGCCTCTGGGCCTTGAGGATTGCCAGATGATGAACTGTGGCCTGGGCTTTGCCACTACTGTATGCCATGGACACCCATGAGGGCGGCCCCTGGGGGACCCAGGCCCTTCGATGCCAACCCAGAGGAGGGGAGGGGCAGGAGATGGAGGCCCAGGCACCCCCGTCCCTGTCAGCTACACCGCTCTACTGCAGCCCCTCCAGGGGCCCGTTCTCACGTGGCAGTGTCCCGTTCAGGCCAATGGTACTGGCTGCCGGCACCCCTAGGTAGCCAAGCAGGATCTCGCTGCGGCGCCGTGACAGCTGAAGGATGTCGTCTGCCAGCGCCGGCACTGACGTGTAGCGCACGTTGTCCAGGTCGAACATGTCCCTCAGGTACTGCACAATCTGGTGCTAGGGGCATAGGGCTGGCATGGGGCCCCTGTTTCCTCCTAATGTCCTCCAATTCACCCAGTCCCTCCTACCCCCCAACCAGTGCCCAGCCCAGTCTCTCCCATCCTGGGGCTTCCTCTGGATCTACCTGGGCCAGGCTCACAGTGGAAGGGCAGCATAGCCCCTTTCCAGGCACCCCCACTCCACCCTTCCTCTGGAAGCAGGCCCAGGTCCTCACTCCGTTCTTGGCACCTCCCAGGGTTCCCGTCCCAGGGGCCAGGTGCTGGGGCCTAGATGAGAAGTAGCAGACACAGCCACGCCCTCATTTACCTTGAAGAAAGCACAGACTTCAGAGAGCTGGGGCTTGGGTCCAAGGAAGCCAAAGGCTAGGACAGGGCTAACGTGCTCCGATACGGAGTAGAAATGGGAGATGAAGCCATCAGGCACCTGTGGGGGTAGGGGAAGGCTGAGGGATCAGGCAAGGGCCCAGGGAGGGTACAGGCAGTTGGGTCCTAGGTCACATAAAGAGCTGGGCTTTTGAGGCAGAGTTGGCTCGTTATCGTCCTTGCTAGATGAGCCTGGGCCAGTGACTAGAGCTTTCAGAGCCTCGGTTTTCACCTCTGCAGAACAGGGGTACTCACAGGCTGCTGTGGGAACTGCATGAGGTGGGCCCCTGGTGGTTCAGCACAGGAAGGGCCCAGAGCATGTGGCAGCGGCAGCAGCTGCTATCAGCTGGGCAGCAGAGCCCTGCTGACAGAGCGGAGCAAGGGATCGCGGCCCAGATAGTGTAGCCAGTGCTGCCTGGGAGCACAGATAACAAACAGCAGTCCAGGAGGCAGGGAGAGGCTGTTCCATCTGCTCCCCTGGGGCATCTGTCCCACACCCAGATGCCTCTACCAAGCCAAGTGCCACTCCTAGAGTGCCCTTTTCCCTCTTGTGGTCCCTTTAACATTTATGGAGGCCTACTCTGTGCTGGGCCCTGGGGGGAGCTGCTGGTCAAGGGCAAGGCCATGAGAGGGCAGGGTGACCAGTGCTGTGACAAAGGTCAACAGGTACAGCAGGGCCTGGGGGGCTCAGCATTCCTCCGCCCACCCCACCCTGCCCCCAGACCAGCACATGTCCAGTGGGGCAGCGGCTAAGCTGGGTGGCCGACAAAAGGAGTTCTGGATACGCCGGGGCCCCTGCATGGCACTCCCCGGAGGCCTGTCAGGGTCACTCACCATCAGCAGCCTCCTCTTGGCTTTCAGGACTGACCAGCAAGCAGTAGCCAGGGCCTAAATCAAAGATGGTCCCCACTCAGGGTGTCAGCGCATCAGGCCCCACCCCTGCCCACCTCCCAGCCCAGGACCAAGCCCTTATTCCCACTTATCCCACCTCAAGTGGGAAGACGGGCTCATGTCTGGGTACAGACACTGCTGTTTTCCTCCTTCCAGTTTGGAATCAGAAACACCGAAATTTGAATTTTGACTCTAACCCTACTACTGCAGGTCCCTGGACTAGCCACTGAACTTCTCTGAGCCTCAGTTTCCTCCTCTGTAAAATGGCTGTGACATAGCACCCCCACTCACTCAGTGGTTGTGGGGATCAATGGTTTCTGCCCCAAAACTGCCTGACACCTAATAAAAGAGCAGGCCCATCCCTTCTCCAGGACCATACCCACAAAGAAAGGGCGGAGAGGGCCCTGCCGCCTGCCCTGCCAGGGGACAGCACTGGGCTTTCTCTTTCTATTGTTTGTTTTTCTGTTTTGTTTTTTAGTTTTCCCATATTTTAACAGGATGCTTTAATTTGAATAGAATTACTAAACACAAAATGAGCAGAATTAACCAACGTGAAAACACAATACAGGCAAAAAATGCATGCCACACTGGTTCTAAACTGGTGTGGAGGGAGAGCCGTGGAGTCACCTGGGAAGGTTCTCCAGAGCAGACATGCAGTCTGCCAGCCCTGGCAGCCCCAAATCTCAGGGGCAGGGGAGTCTGGGCCAGTGAGGCCCAACTGGATGGGGAACCCCATCTTGCTGCCCAAAGCCAGGGACAGAGGGATGCAAATGCATGGGGATGCATAAGTACGTGTGTGTTTGCGGGGAGGGGGCAGTGACGCACCGTCTCCTTGAAGCTGTCGGACAGCCAGCGGTTCCTCAGGACGGCGAGCACTGAGGATGGGGGATTCTCCAGGTCCTCAAAGGCATCCATGAGTATGAAGTCGAGCACGATGTCAAAGAAGCTCATGCACACCACCTGTGAGAGAGCGGGCTGCACTGGGTCCCGGGTGCCTGAGCTGCAGGACCACTGTCCAAATGGGGAGACTGAGGCCAGAGGGGCCAGGTGCCTCCCTGAGGTGGCACAGTGAGTCAGGGGCAGAGGGGACTGGGCGTGTGGATGCCCCACTCTGCTTTGCAGTGGGGTGCAGCCTGGACGTGGGGCAGGGCAGAAATGAGGGGCTTCCAGCAGTTATGGAGCCGAGGCACCCCCTCCCTGCTCGAGCACCTCAGGTGTAAGAGACCCCAGGCCCAGGCCCAGCAAGGCCAACTCACCCCGCGGCCCTCCAGCTCCAGCCGTGTGGTGGCCCAGGTCTCGGGCCGCAGGGCATAGCTCAGCATCTCCTCATAACTCTCCAGGAAGCCTTTGGGGCTCTGTGGGGAGAAGCAAAGCCTGCTGTGGTCGTGGCAGAGGCCTCAAGACCTGGATGGACTAGACCCGTGACAGCAAGGTGGCCTCTGGATGGGGGATGTACGAGGGCAGGGCTGAGTCCTGTCCCCAGGCAGCAGTCACCGAGAAAATGAGGCAGGGAAGAGTCGCCCGCCCACCTCTATGTGCTTCTCCAGAAAACCAGGGCAGGTCTAGGGGAAACTCGACACCAGCGTGCCCAGCAACCTCTCTGGCTGGCTCACTTACTGAGCACTTACTGTCCTCCAGGAGACAGGCACAGCGTGACAGTATGATCTCACTATGGAGGGATGGGTGAGAGCGTGCGGGTTAGAGTCAGGCAGTCAAACATTCAAATCTCCGTGACCTTGGGCCTCGCTGCTTTTCCTTGCTGGTGAAATGGGAGAAGCTGCAGCCCCACACTCATAGGGCTGTTCTGGGGACATGCATGAGCTCATGCATGTAACAAAGTCAGCCCAGTGCCTGGCTGCTGTTGCTGAGTACTAAGACTATAAGCATATATGATGCATTCTTTATTCCCTGGGGCCCTGAGGTTTAGCTGGGGTTTAGGACACAATTTACAGATGCGGATCTACATTTATGTACGTGGAAACAATATGTGCCAGGATCTTTTCTAAGCATGGGTTCACTCACTTCATTCTCATGGTCCTATAAGGTGGGTTCCACTATTATGCCCACTTTATAGAAAGAAATACTGAGGCTTCAGGAGATCAGTGATGTGCCTGAGGTCCCAAGCAGGGTGGAGCTGACACAGAACAGCACAGGCAGGTGGATGCCACTGATAAAGACCCATGGGCCAGGGAGACACCAGACAGACAGATATGCACCAAAATGTGAACAAGGCAAACTGGGGACAATTTTTCCTTTTTGTTTTGCTTTTTTGTATTGTCTTAAAGTTTTTTCTACAATGAGTATGCATCATCTTTATAATATTTTTTTTTAAAACTATTTTCATTAAGTTTTAAAGAGAATTTGCTAGGATGACCTTGGGCTATCCCCTAACCTCTCCCAGCCTCAGTTTCCTTATCTATAAAATGATGTCAATGAGATGATGAAGATAATAAGAGCTGTCCCTTGCTTGGCATGTCTGATGTCATCTCACATCCCTGGGGCATGCCCATTTACACACGAGGAGACTGATCCTTGGAGAGGTTTCATGACTAGCCCAGGGACACGCAGTGAGAAGTGCCTGATGCTGCAGAGCCTGGTCATGGCATCTTCCCAGACTGGGGGTCTGGCCCTAGCTCCACCTGCTTGGAAAGACCCTACAGAGACTAATCGGTCACTGCTCTAGTCCCAGGGCCCAATGCAGGCTCTGGTGCTCAGGGGCTGCTTCACAGCCTTTGACCCTCTTCCGTTTCATAATAAAAATGAAACCTAAGTCCTGCACTCAGGTGGAGGCTGGGGAGAGGCCCCTTTGGGAGCAGCCACAGAGAGCAGTGCCCATCCATTATGCTCCTTGTGCCCACTTTAGCCCCACTCATCCTCCATGCATTCGTTCAGAAAACAGGCTAAGGGCACAGGCTGGGGTCAGAATGACCTTGGTTCAAATCTTGGCTCTACCTTCTCTTGCTTAGTGATCTGGGGGGAGCCCCTTTGCCCTTCCAGGCTTGGTTTCCTCATCTGCCAATTGAGAACTGTGGTGAGGAGCTAATGGGCTGCTGAAGGTAAAGAAACACAAGTAAAACACTGAGCTCACTGGCTGGTAAATGACAGCTGCTGGGACAATAGTTATTTGACAAACGTTATGGAGCTCCTGTACTGTGCCAGGCCCTGGGCTGGGCACACCGTGGCCAGGACAGCTGTGGTCCTTGCCCTCACAGAACTTGCTGAATAATAGGAGATGGACAGGGCAACCCATGAGCAAGATGCAGAGTGATGAGGCTATGCCGGGTGAGCTCAAGAGGCTCTGGGGCCTCAGGGATGAGTCGGCGGGGGGGACTTTCAGGGGAAGACTTCCTAGGAAAAGAGATGGCCAGCAGAGACTCAGAAGACAAGTGACCAAGAAAGAGGGGAGAGATGTCATTGGGAGAGACACTGGGGGAGGGGGGTGTCCAAATACTGCCATGTGTTCCACTTCTTCCACTTCTTAACCTGGATGCTAGGTACATGAGAATTCTATCTTTTTATTCATCAAATCCTATAGATACATATTTTAAACTCTCTTATATGCATATTTCACAATAGAATTGTTTAAAAAAAATTAAGGGAACAGAATTCCAGGCAGAAGGACCAACATATGCAAAAGCCCAGATTGGAGAAAAAGTCCACTGTGTACAAGGAGCTATAAGCCCTCAGCCTGGACGGGGCCAAGTGCACAAAGCAGTGGGCCACGTAACAAAGCCAGCCCTTTTACACCAAGGTCAGCGGGAGCCGCACGAGAGTTTTAAGCAGATGGATGACAAGGTCAGATGTGTGTTTTCAAACCTTTACTACATATTTGAGGAGAATGGATTCAGAGGGGTGAGGCATGTTCCAAAGCTTTGACCAAGCCCTTCAAAGAAAAAAAACACAAGTGGCCGATAAACATGAAAAATAATGCAACCTCACTATCAGGGAAACAAAGCAATGGATCAATAACAGAGTAAAAAGATTATTGATATCCATTATTGGTCCAGATGTGAACAAAGAAACACTCAAACACTGCTGGTGGGGACATATGCAGCCTTTTGGAGGGCAAACTGACAAGATCTGTTAGCCTTCTAAATGTTCTTATTATCGTGCCTAGGGCTTTGCCCCAGAGAAGACCTCAGAGGTACCTAAAGAGATCCGTATGAGAATGAGTAAACAGCAGTGTCTATAAACAACCCAAATGTTCACCCACAGGGGCACGGGGTAAACTACAGCCTGTCCAAATGATGAAATACTATACAATCATTAAAGGAACTGTATGTGTTAACTTGGAAAGGTGGACAAGAAATAATGTTAAAGAACAAAACATAGCTGCAGAACAGTCCATAGGCACAAACCAAGTTTTGTAAATGAACTAACATGTTTAGGGTTAGAGCATCTATTGAACAGAGTAGGAGGAATATATACCAGATTGTGGACAGTGTTAGCTCTGGCAGGTGGAATTCAGGGGGACCTTCAATGGTTTGACATTGTATAAATGGTGAATTTTGTAAAACTGGGTTATGTTATAATCAGGAACAAAAAGCAATAAATAAAATCAGCATAAGGGGAAAAAAATGCCAACCCTTCCCCAGCTCCTCCGTGGCCTACAGGATGAAGCTGAAGCACCTCAGCCTGGCACATGAGGCCTTGTGTGACCTGGCCTGGCCAATCATTCCGGCTCATCTCCTGCTGCTCCCCCAGAGCCCAGCACCCTTGCTTTGGCCAGGCCGGCCTGCTTGTCCCATCCCCTCCCGAATCCAGATGGTCTCCCTGCCATCTCTACCAAAACCTGTCAACCTGTGAGGCCCGCCACGGGTACTGTCTCCCCTGAGAATCCACCTTGCTTCTGTCCAGCCTTCTCCCATACCCTCAGTGCCCCTTGCCTAGAATCAGGCCCAGCCCAGCCCCACTGGACTCAGAGCTCCTTAGAACTGGGATCACACCTCATTGTTCTTCATATCTCCCCAACCCCTCTTCCACTGCCCACTCGCTGGAGGCTCTGAGCCATGTGGGTCCACCCAGGAGCAAACAGGGCTCCCTCCCAAGCCCAGCACTGACACTGCCCAGGACCTGGGCTCCAAGGACTGGGCCTGGACACCAGCTCCGCATCTAAACCCTGTGACCTGCTGCCCTCCCAGTAAATGGTCCTAGTAAACCGGAAGGCAACAGACGTGTTTAAAGCGTAAAGCCCAGCTCCCTACCACAAGCCATTTTGTTAGAAAAGAACTCTAAAAGCACACAGAAGACACGTATGTACACATGCATCATCTGTACTAAGGTTTGATGACCACAAGGTTGGCTTGGTCCATGGGAGACACCTTGTGTTGGGCTCATCATCACTGTTGACACGAGATCTTCACTGAGTACTGGCTAACTGCCAGCTCCTGTGCGACACAGGTTCCAGGCATTATTACATTTTCTCTGCCCAGCTGTGGGAGGCAAGCAGTCTGACTACATCCTCTCTTCAGTGCAGAAACTGAGGCACAGAGTGAATTTACTGGGCAAAGTCATAGAGGGATTATGTATGGAGCTAGATCCAACCTAGGTTTACACAGCTCTATCTTTGTAACATCATTTCTAACTGCTATATAATGAGCAGGAGCCCTGGTGGCCCAGTAGTTAAGAACTCAGCTGACAACCAAATCCACCAGTTACTCTTTGGAAACCCTGTGGAGCAGCTCTACTCTGTCCTATGGGATTGCTATGAGTTGGAATAGACTCCATGGCAAAGGGTTTGGCTTTTTATACAATGAGCATGTGTTACTTATGTAAGAACAACCAATGATGTCTATCATTTATCAAGTGCATTATCTCATTTAATCCTCATAATAGTCTACAGATTGGTTATAATTATTATCACCCCAGGATTCAAATTTTTAAATATTGATTACGTGCTGAAATGATAACATGTGATATATACTGAGTGAAATAAAACATATTATTAAAATCAATTTCACCTGTTTCTTTTTATTTTCTTAATGTGGCTACTGTTGTTAGCTGCTGTTGAGTCAATTCTGATTCACGGCGACCCTCTGTGTGCAGAACAGAACTGCTCCACAGGGTTTTTAAGGCTGTGATCTTTCAGAAGCAGATCGCCAGGCCTTTCTTCCAAGGCACCTCTGGGTGGGCTCAAACCACCAACCTTTCAGCTAGTAGTTGAGGGCTTAACCATTTGTACCACCCGGGGACTCCAGGGAGCTACTAGAACATTTAAAATTACATCTGGGGCTCGCGTTATATTTCCGTTGGATATGCTTCTCCAGAATGATGGTCTTAACCACCATGGTGAACTGCTTATTTTCAGACTGGGTTTTATTAAACAAAACTAAATAAAAGTTTAAAAAAAGAGCGAGAGAAAGAAAACCTGAACAAAAAGCCCCACCCCCACTACCTTCTCAGCCTTGGTCATCAGGCCGGTCACCATCTGCCGGCCAACCTCCCCGAAGAAGAGCTGGTTACTGTTGTCTTCCAGAAGTCCCTAAGGAACGAGGGAGGGAAGGAGGGGAGTGAGCCACTGGGCGTGGCAGTTCCCCACAGTCTGTGGAGAGGGCAGTGTGAGGGGTTGGGCACGGGTCCCATCCCATAGAGAAGCCAGGCATGGATGAGGGCAGTAGGAAAAGCCACGTGGACATGGCCAAGCTTGACTACCACCCCACAGGCTCCATCCACCCCAAGTTGCATCCTGTACACAGCCCACACCCACCTCGAAGGCCTGTCGGACACAATGCAGCTTGGCCAGAAAGTCCTGGTCATTGTAGCAGCTCAGTAACTCTGTCCTGAGGGGAAGAACAGACAGCATCACACTGCCTGGTCCACACCCAGCAATGACTCCGTGAGGGTCAGGGTGAGCCCTGGGTTGGGAGGTAGGAGTGATCTCAGGCAGGTGCCTTGCCCCTCTCTGGGTATCAGTGTCTCCCAAGCTAAAGGAAGAGGCTGACTGGGCGCTCTCTAAGAACATGTCTGCCTCACTGCACTGGGACTGGGCACAGTGGCAGGCCTGGTTGTTGGGTGTCTGGCTGACCTTAGCCTTGGTCAGCCCCAAATCCTAATAGGCAAAGGACCAAAATTGTTCCCAGATAGAACACCAGGGCAGGGAGTTGCTGCCCCTCCAGGCCAGGCTTTCTGGGGCAGCCAGAGGGCACCCTGGACTGGCCATCCACTATCCAAATCACCAAGGTTTCAACCAGGGATTTCAGCCATTTTGTCAGTGAACTTTAAAACACATATACTTAAATCCAGGCGCCTGGATCAAAAAGCCAAGTTCTGAGATTCTGCCTGGGGCAGATGGATTGCTTTCAGGTGCCAACCAAAGACTATTGCTTCTGGGGGAATTAAAAAGAACAGAACTTTCCTGATTCAACCAGAACAAAGAATAATTAGTTACATGGGGATAATTTTACAAGTTATCTTAAGTCTCTCTCTAGCCACAGAATGCCCACTCAGGAACTAAATATGCTGAAGTCGCAGGATCCCTCCAAGACTGAAGACTGGAAAAGGGGTCTGCCCAGTTCACGGCCCTGTTTCTCCTCCTCCACCAAACCAGACCGTTACGGCCAACATTCCTACCTGCCATTGGTGAGATGAGCAAGATCTCAACTATTATTTACCTATCAGCTCAGCAAAGATTCAAAATCCTATAACAGCAGTGCACAAGAGCATGGGGAACAGGCCCACTCATACACCACTGCAGGAGTGTAAACTGTACAACTTTTGTGGAGGGCAAATTAGTAAGGTGGCTATATCTGCTTATTAACATTTTATATTTTTAATTATAGATTGTAAATATAAATTTGAATCAAAATCTCACTTCTAGAAATCTAGCTTCTGGAAACTAGAGCAAAGGTGTGTGAATCCAGATGATCATTGCACATACAGAAATTACTGAGATGGTGTTATGTTTTGTTATGTATACTTTCACCACAATAAAATAAGTGTTCAGAGGGCTGTGGGGACCATGGTCTCCGGGAACATCTAGCTCAATTGGCATGACACAGCTTATAAAGACAATGTTCTACATTCTACCTTGGTGAGTAGTGTCTGGGGTCTTAAAAGCCTGTGAGCAGCCATCTAAGATACTCCACTGGTCTC